CACACACACACACACACACACACACACACACACACACACACACACACCTCAGAGGCCCAGAGGCAGAAGAAATCCCTACCACCTCTGTTGTACAGTTCTGAATTAGATTTTTAATTAAATTTTTATTTTTTATATTAATTAGTTTATTTACTTTGTATCCCAGCTGTAGCCCTCTCCCTCATTGCCTCCCAATCCCTCCCTCCCTCATCTCCTCCCTGCCCCTCTCTAAGTCCATTGATAGGGGAGGTCCTCCTCCATTTCCATCTGACCCTAGCTTATCAGGTCTCCTCAGGCCTGGCTGCAATGTCCTCCTCTGTGGCCTAGCAAGGCTGCTCTTACCTCATGGGGGTGGGGGGGAGGGAGGTCAAAGAGCCAGCCACTGAGTTCATGTCAGAGACAGTCCCTGTTCCCCTTACTAGGGAACACACTAAAATCTGTATACCTAAATAAGCTAAACAAGAAGGAGGACCCAGGGTAAGATGATCAATCCTCACTTAGAAATTCAAATGGGATGGACACTGAATTAGATTTTGAATAATTCTATTTCTTTACATGCATGATGTTACATCATCGAAGTCTAACTAATGCATCAGTCCTCTGTAGCACTGTGAGATGGAACACTGGGATCTGACTACTGTGTTTTCCATTATGCTGAAGCCTAATCTGCTGGCTATTAAGAGATACTCTGGGTTCAGTCCTGGATGACTGGACTTACTCATGATGACTGCTAAAATATCTGCTGCCACCTTGAATTTTCACATTCACAGTGACAACCCCACTGCATTCACAGGATGTCACATGTCCTGAGAAGAACAGCTGTAGGCAGAGGGATTTGCATGGGTGCTTGAAGCAACTGGAGAAAGCAGTCCTTGGGTGTGTGTCACCTGGCAGAAGCAGTTTCAGAGCGACTTGTGTTCCCAGTGAGGGCTGATAAAGTACAGATACATCCAGTATCATGTAGATGATGGCCAAGTGTATCCCTCTGTCTGTCTTTATACAGAAAATTTTGGTGGAAGTCAGATATAAGCACATGGATGAGTAGCAGAGACTGTGAAGCCCACAGAATTAAAGTTATCACTGTGTGGACCTTTATGGGAAGTTCACTGATGCCAGGACATATGATGCTCAATTTCATCCCAAGTATGTGATTATTTTTACATACTGCATGGTGTTGTTGATGAATAGCCTCTTCTCCTCTTTCTCTTATAACAACGGACTGGGAGTTTTCAGAGAGCAGGTTTTGCATCTTTAAAGCTAGGTAAACTGGCTTCATTTGGCTGCCTGTGACGGTATTCACTGCTGTGAGAAGGGAAGATATGAACTCCCAATGCCTGGGATGTGGGGACTGAGGTCTCAGGCAAGAGGTCATAGTCTCAGAGCTAGCCATATGTGCTGTCCTATCTACATGTGGCTCCTACTTGGGAGTAAGAGTTCATTGTTGTGGCTAAAAATGAAGAAATGATTGACCTGATGTATGTGGTACCAGTTAGGAGACTCCTTCTTCCTTTGCCTCATGCACCACAGCTTCAGCCGCAAGACTCTCCTCTTCTGTCACTGCCACCTGGGGATAAATAAGAGCAAAGGGCATGTTATCTCCTCTCCTGTGCTTTCTTCATTGTCAAAAGAAGCTGCATTTAAGGCGGGGCCGGTTGCTAGAGGCAGGTCCTTTTTGCATCCTGGCTGCCACAGGCCCTTCCTGGCCAGCCAATCACTTGTTCCAACTAGTGGATGCTGGCAAGAAAAGATGGTCTCAGCTTCCTTTTGGAAAGCACCTGGGATCATGTTCACAGAATAAAATCATTCTAAACCTTGCTAGTAATTTCTGGATCCATCAATACATTTAATTTGAGCTACCACTTTAACTGTACAGTTCAGTGACATTAGATGCAGTTATCCTCCAGGACATTTCATTCTCCTAAATGGAAACTGGCTCCACTAAACACCATCTCCCTATTATTTCTTTCCTCAGGACCTGGCAACTTCCATTTTATTGCCTGTCTTTATGAATTTGACTAGTTACTCCTATAAGTAAACTCTCACAGTATTTGTCTTTTTTTGTGATTAGATCATTTCACTTAGCCTAAGTTCATCAATGTTCACATACATTGTAAACTGTCAGAATTTGAAGGTAAGTCCTCCAAGACTTGGCAGAACTTAGCTGGATATGACCTGAAATCCTCCTCCTTATGGATTAGTTTTCATCATTCAGAAAGATGATATGCAAGGGAAGAAAGCAAGCAATGGTCCTGCCCAGCTGTGCTGCCTATGAACCACAACAATGACCACCACATTATGATATCCTTAAAGGTACAGTAGTGGAGCTTATATCTTGGTAGTAACCAACAGCTATGTCATTGGACTTAAGGCTATCTCAGTAGGAGAGAATTATTGCTTGATACTATAAACCTAGCTGACTATGGCTGGTTAAGCGGGTTGAGTCACAGAATGTAGAGGAGAACTTACCCCTGCAACTTTCCCAAGCCAGTATAATTGCTAACTGCCTAATACTTAACCTTACACTTACAGACAAGTTTAGCGTTCATCCCTCATCAAATAAGCTTCTGTTTGAGGCAGATAGAGACCGCTGTAGAAATTAACTGCTCAAAATGCAGAGAACAACTGACCTCAGTGTGCCCAGCCCCAGTGAATATGTTTCCAACAGAACATAAACCAGCCTGCCTCTATTTTGGGCTGGAAAGCCATTTTATAGTAAAGACAAACTATATTCATTCCTGTTTATGATTAAATCTGTTTCTCAATGGTTTGCTTATGCCACACCTGTAACCTTTACTACAGATGGTTCTGTACTGCCCATTCCAAGAAATGGCAACCATGCCTTTGTTTCGAAAGGTTATTCTAATCACATTGTTATGACTACCTTATTCTGACCACTTTGCAACCATGTCTTTATTTCAGGAGGTTGTTATGAGCAATTTGTTATGCTCATGTTCTGCTTCTGTAACACTGCCCATTTGCCAGCTAAACCTCCCATTTTGAAACCCCTTACTTCTGAGCTATAAAACCCCTATATTACCCATGTACAATGCTGATCTCTTGGACCCCCCTTAAGGTAGAGATAGCCCTTGTACACAGGTAAAAAAAAATAATTAATTGCTTGCTTTAATTAATTTGGCCATGATTTGGGTCAGTGGTCTTTCTCCTTACATCTATTGGATTAACAAGAACCCCTGTAACTAAGACTAATGGAACATAGTGGCAGAAGGGGTAGAAAGATTGTAAGAGCCAGAAGACCAGGGCATCTGTCATGAGATAGTGCCTTCTGGACATGATAGGAAAGCCCCACCCATGAAATCTCGAGAATAAACAAGACCAGCAAATGGCAACACCAATTGACACACCCAAGTAGACTGAGGAAATCTCACAAAGGCCTACCTCTAAATGATGACTACAGAGAGGGAAAGAATCAGGCTTTCCCCAGTAATGAGCTCCCGAGTTAGTCATCCAAACACTGAGTGACCAGCCCGACAGTGATACATATGAGCAACCTAAGTGGACTCAGTAGGTTGTATTTATGTATTTACTCATTTATATATTTATACACATAATATATACTATATTATAGATAGGAAATGATAAAACAAAAGAGGGCATGAATTTGAGGGTGGCATGGGAGGGTTGAAAAATTATATAGGTACAGTACAGATACATGAAATTTTAAAAATGAAAAAAGAAATCGGGAAATATATACTGATGATCAGAAGAGGATCGTTTTCTTTTTTTTTTTTCCTGTGTCTTTTTTCTTTTTATTTATTTATTTATTTGTTATTTATTACAAGTTATTCATTTTGTATCTCTGCTGTAGCCCCTCCCTCATCTCCTCCCAGTCCCACCCACCCTCCCTCCCTCTTCTCCCCCATGCCTCTCCCCTAGTCCACTGATAGGAGAGGTCCTCCTCCCTCTACCTGACCTTAGCCTATCAGGTCTCATTAGGACTGGCAGCATTGTCTTCCTCTGTGGCCTGGCAAGGCCGCACCCCCCGGGGGGAGGTGACCAAAGAGCCAGCCAGTCACTGAGTTCATGTCAGAGACAGCTCCTGTACCCTTTACTAGGGAACCCACTTGGAAACTTAGCAGCCAATGGGCTTCCTTTGAGCAGGTCTAGGTCCTCTCCATGATGGTCCTTGGTTGGAGTGGCTCTATTGGTCTCCTTGTGGAGTTCCTGTACCTTTCTATCTCCCCCTTCTTTCATAAGATTCCCTGCACTCTGCCCAAAGTTTGGCTACGAGTCTCAGCATCTGCCTCGATACGCTGGTCAGTAGATTCTTTCAGAGGCAAAGAGGGCCATTTCCAATGCCGGCATGAGTCTTTGACTCTAGGGCCTGGCAGGTGCTGGAACTCATCCAGAATTGCTGACTGATGCTGGGAGGCTAGGGGTTTACATTCTTGTTGCTGCAGAGATATGCTCAGAGACTGCCACCTTGAAGTGATGGCTGTCCAAATCAGTGGGGAGCAAGACTCAGGTAGGTCTTTCTGATGATGTGACTCACAGAGCACAGGCATGAAGGACTAGGGAAGCACAGGCTTGGAGTGCAGCTTAGTCTTAGGGTCAAGTAAAGGCCCCAGGGTGGAGCATAGGCTGGAGGCCAATGGCTCACCAGTGTGAACCTTTACTATATCTTCACTGCCTGATTTGGGCAAGTGAGTGGCTCCAAGAAGCCTTGCTTTCTTTTCTGAAAAATGAGGTTAAGAACAGCACTGCCTCTCAAAATTGCTGAAAGAATGAAAGAAAATGATGTTTCATAAACATACCCTATGTCACATTAGGGATATAGATTTGAAGCAAATAGCTATCTAATATTAAGGATTTTTGCTCTCTCACTATATATGCACATTCTTACTCTGAAGAGTAACATATAAAAAATGGTCACACATCCTTCAATCTATCCTTCTCTGCAATGGAGGAGCCCATTCTAGTGAGAGGCTCACAGATGCACAGACATTGTGGGATCCATGGCATCTAAGCTCAGATGTCAACATCTTACATTCCGGGCATCTGCTGGCTCCATCCTGTGACTTGGGACAAGTTCAGTGACAGGTTTCTGTGCATGTCATATTAACAAGACAAAGCTTACAGGGCACTTGAGGTCTTAGTTCAGAGGAAAGTCCGGAGAGCCTTGGAATGAAGGGGCATGAGGCTGGCAAAGTGTCCAGTGTGCATGATCCACTTCAAAGCAAGCTTCCACACGCTACAGCTAGGGACACATATGGGTCTTTGAGTAATTTTGGCTGCAGCAAGGCAATGTATCCAGAAAACTCAAACTAAAAAGCCCTGAGTGAGAAGGGAGATGAGACAGAAAGGCAGAAGGAACAGGAAGAGTGTTTAGGGAGATGACAAAAGATAGGACTGCTTGAGAATCAGACAAAAGTGGTTATAGCAACATCTGGCCTTTTTTCTTCTTTTTCTTGGTAAAGCTTATTTTATAAGTGATTAGTAGCTTCCATAGAAGCTAGAGAGAACTTTAGAAACAATGATGGGCAGCTCCAGGCCGAGGTTTGGAAGGAGGCACATGTGTGGGTTCTGAGTCCCTTCCACAAGTACGGTAGATGCAGATGGGATGGACTGAGGAACTGCTTCTGATCCAGGGACCACTGGTCCTGTGCCAGGCCAGCTCCTAGAGCACAGGACAGGGTAGATTAATACACACAGAAAATGGGCCACTAAAATTTGTAAATTACTGGGCAGTGGTAGTACATGCCTTTAATCTCAGCTCTCCGGAGGGAGAGACAGGCAGATCTCTGTGAGTTGAAGGTCAGCCTGGTCTACAGAGGAAGTTCTAAGGACCCTGTCTTGAAAGACAAACAAACAAAAATTGTAAATGTTATTTCATGCTCCAAACATACTATTACCTTCCTTCCCTACCTCATTTCTTCTTGTCCTTCTTTTTCCCCTTCTCTTCTGTGTGTTTTGGTTTCTTTCTGAGAAAGATCCTCACAATATAGCCTAGGCTGCCTTTCAGCTTCTCATTCTCCTGTCTTGACCCCCTGAGCACTAGCAAGTGCTAGTATTATGGGTACAATTCAGTTCCTATACTTTTGAACTCAGATATGTAAAGTGAAGAAAAGAGTAAAGAAAATAGTGCTGTATACATTTTAAAACTATTTTTCCAGGGGCGAGCAGGCAAAGACACACATCTCATAGAACACGTGTGCCCCCCAAATGTAACTAAAATATTCTTCAATGAAAAACTTTGAATATGCCTGAAAGTAGACAAAAGAACATATGATAAACATCAATGGACCATTCAATTATGACAATAATCAATTTAAAGCTAATCTTTAAAAAATATTTATTTATTATAATTTATTTACTTGTATCCCAGCTGTAGCCCCCTCCCTCATCATTTCCCAATCCCATCCTCCCTCCCTCTTTTCCTCCTATGCCCCTTCCCAGTCCACTGATAAGGGAGGTCCTCCTCCTCTTCCATCTGACCCTAGCCTATCAGGTCTCATTGTCTTCCTCTGTGGCCTAGTAAGGCTGCCCCCTCAGGGGGAGGTGGTCAAAGAGCCAGCCACTGAGTTCAAGTCAGAGTCATTAAAGCTA